CTTCCGGCTTTTTTTCTTTTTGCTTATGTGGTGATGAGGAATCGAACCCAGGGCCTCATGCTTGCAAGGCAAGCGCTCTACCACTGAGCTATCTTCCCAGCCCAATTTTAAGTATTTTTAAGTGTACAGTTCTCTAGTAATACATTACATAGTCATTTCTCTAGAATATTCTCATCTTCAACTGCAATAAACAGTAACATTCCTCACTTGCCTCCCCAAAGGCCTGGCATCCATCATCCTACTTCTGTGAGTTCATCTGCTTTCTGTAGGTCATGCAAGTGGGGTAATTTCTGCAGCTGTCTTGCTTTCTTTCCTTCCTTTCTTCCTTCCTCCCTCCCTCCCTTCCTTCCTTCCTTCCTTCCTTCCTTCCTTCCTTCCTTTTTCTTTCTTCTTCCTCTTCCTCCTCCCTCCTTCCTCCTCCTCCTCCTCCACCTTCCTTTTTGTAATAGTACTGGGCCTTCCTTCGTTCGTTTGTTTGTTCCTTCCTTCCTTCCTTTCTTCCTTTCCATCTTTACTTCTTTCTTTCTCCTTCTTCCTTTCCGTCTTTCCTTCTTTCTTTCTGTCTGTCTGTCGTGGGCCTGAACTCTGGGCTTGGGAGCTGTCCCTGTGATCTTTAGCTCAAGGCGAGTGCTCTACCACTTGAGCCACAGCGCCACTTCTGGTTTTCTAGTGGTTTATTGGAGATAAGAGTCTCACAGACTTTCTTGCTCGGGCTGGCTTTGAACCTCGATCCTCAGATCTCAGCCTCCTGAGTAGCTAGGATTACAGGCGTGAGCTACCGGCACCTGGCTTCTTTTTTCCTTCCTTCCTTCCTTCCTTCCTTCTTTGTTCCTTCCTTCCTTCCTTTCTTTCTTTTCCTCCTCCTCCTCTTCTTCCTCCCTTTTTGTACTAGTACTGGGCCTTGAACTCAAGGCCTGGGTATTGTCCCTTAGCTTTAGCTTTTTCCACTCAAGGCTGGAGTTCTACCATTTGCACTACTGCTCCACTTCTAGGTTTTTACTGGTTAATTGGAGATGAGTCGGATAGACTTTCCTGTCCCAGCAGGCTTTAAACCACAATCCTCAGATCTAGCCCTAGGATTGACAGCATGAGTCACCAGTACCTGGCTGGTTATATACATTGTTTTGGCTCATTTAATATAAACTGTCATTATCTTTGGAGGAGGACCAGAAGACACTGGAATTGGAAATATATTGGATTCAGTCCACAAGTTTTCCCAAGAACTTGCAATGTGTTCCATGCTGCATTTACTTTTTTTTGGTCGGTTGTGGGGCTTAAATTCTGGGCCTGGGCACTATCCATGCGCTCTTCAGTTCAAGGCAAGTGCTCTACCACTTGAGCCACAGCACTACTTCTGGTTTTCTGGTGATTTAAGAGTCCCACAGACTTGCCTGGGCTGGCTTTGAACTGGGATCCTCAGATCTCAGCCTCCTGAGTAGCTAGGTTTACAGGCTTAAGCCATGGGCACCCAGCATTGTTTTTATTTTTAGAGAATAGTTTGGTAAAAACAGAGCCTTAAAAATGTACATGCAGCTGGGCACTGGTGGTTCATGCCTAGAATCCTAGCTACTCAGGAGGTTGATCTGAGGCTCGTGATTCAGAGCCAGTCCAGACAGGAAAGTCTGTGAGACTCTACCACTGAGCCATCTTCCCAGCCCTCTTATCCCCATTTAACTACCAAAAAAGGCAGAAGTGGAAATGTGGCTGTAGTGGTATAGCGCTTGCCTTGGGCAAAAAAAGGCTCAGGGACAGCACTCAGAAAAAAAACACCAGAAAACTGAAAGTGGCACTGTGGCTCAAGTGGTTGAGCACTCACCTTGAGCTGAAGAACTCAGGGACAGCGCCAGGCCCAGAGTTCAAGCCCCATGACCGACCCTCTCCCCCCCCCCCAAAAAAAATCAACACACACAAAAAAACCTCAAACTAATGTTTATACAATTTATTCCAGCTGTGATGGTACACATCTATGTTCTATAATTCCAACAGTTGGGAGGCAGAGGCAGGAGGATCATGAGTTCAAGGCTAGGTTTAGGTACAAAGGAGGTTGAAAGAAAGCCTAGGCTACATAGCTTTATTGAGACCCTATCTTAAAAAACAAAATAGAGGGGCTGGGAAGGTGGCTCAGTGGTAGTATGCATGAGACCCTGGGTTCAATTCCTCAGTACCACATAAGCAGAAAAAGCTGGAAGTGGTGCTGTGGCTCAAGTGGTAGAGTGCTAGCCTTGAGCAAAAGAAGCTCAGGGACAGTCCCCAGGCCCTGAGTTGAAGCTCCAGGACTGGCAAAAAAAAAAAAATTACTAAACGGGGTGCTGGATTGCAGTTCAAAGCCATCTGGGCAAGAAAGTCTTTGAAACTCTTAAATCTCCAATTAACTACCAGAAAAGTGCTGCTGTGGCTTAACGTGGTAGAGTGTTAGCCTTGAATGAAAGAGCTCAGGACAGCGCCCAGGTCCTGCGTTCAAGCCTCATGACCAACAAAAATTAAAAAAAAATTTTTAAATCCACCTGTAGAGGAGCTATTTTATCGTTCTTACCCAGGCCAAAAAGAGAGAGAAAGAGCCCCAGGACTTTGTCTTACCTTTGTTTTGCTTTGTGCGGTTTCAGTTACTGTAGGTTAAATGCAATCTGAAAATGTTAAATGGAAAGTTACAGACATACACAGTGCCTTTATTTTAGCCAGATGTGATGATATATGCCTGTAATCTCAGCATTTGGGAGATTGTGGCAGGAGGATTTTTAAGTTCAAGGCCAGCCTGAGCTATGCCTTCTTTGAGGCCTGTCAGGAACATATAGGGAGGCCTGTCTCAAAAACCAGCAAAGAAACAAAACACAACAACAACCCAAAAAGTTAAAAAAAAAAAAAAAACAACCTTGTTACTTATTCTTTTTTGATGGCTAATTGCAGATAAGAGTCCTACAGACTTTCTTGCTTGGACTGGCCTCAAATCATGATCCTCAGATCTCAGCTTCCTGAGTAGCTAGGATTGATTACAGGTGTGAGCCACCAGCACCTGGCTATAAAAAATTTTTTGAGTGGGGCGCCAGTGGCTCACGCCTGTAATCCTAGCTACTCAGGAGGCTGAAATCTGAGGATCGTGATTCAAAGCCAGCCAGGCAGGAAAGACCGTGAGACTCCTATCCTCCAATAAACCACTAGAAAACCAGAAGTGGCGCTATAGCTCAAGTGGTTGAGCACTTGCCTTGAGCTGAAGAGCTGCGGGACAGCACCCAGGCCCAGAGTTCAAGTCTTACAACCGACAAAAAAAAAAATTGAACTTCATAATGATATGTGATCTTTTTTTTTCTTCTGCTTATTGAGGGTTTTTGCACTTTTCATTGTTACTATTAAGGAGTATACAAAGAGCTTAAAATTTCTTAAGTCAGGTAATGAATAAAATGTTCCTTGGACAACGTCACCCCCTTCTTTGCTTTCCTTCATTTTCTCCCTCCCATCCCTGCCCATAAGTTGCATAGTTCATTTTTTTACCCAGTATATATTGAATAATGGTCATGTAATCTCACCACTGAATATGTAAACTCTACTCAGATTGTGAAAGCCAGGGAGATGGTCTAATTGACCCTTGTAGCCGTTAGGGGTGCCCATTAAAGTCAGGTGAAGTATGTTAATAAGTGTTCTGTTTTCATCTCTTTGAGGTAATACTTCTCCAGATCAAAAGGAGCCAACACCTTTCATCATTGAATGGATCCCAGATATTCTTCCCCAATCCAAGATTGGTGAGCTTCGGATCAAGTTTGAGTATGGTCATCACCGGAATGGGCATGTGGCAGATTATCAGGACCAGAGACCCTCTCTGGAACACCCCTTGGAACTGGCCCCTCTGACCACTATCACTTTCCCCTGAGGCAAAACAAACCTCCTGCTGCTGTATTTGCACATCCTCATCCCTTAACCATTTTAAATACTCGTTAAGCACTTAGATGGCCCTGTTCCTTAGTGAACTGCTCTTAGCTAAGATCCACTTTCTCAGAGCATTCAAGTGGGTTGTGTGGAAGAAAAACTTCTAAATAGCCTTGGTGCTGCTGTTCACCATCTTCATGATGAATTGGAAAATATTTCTGGTTACTCATTTTCCTTCCTTGTGGACTCATTTTAGAGATGTATTCAGCCTTTTTCTAATTCTCCAAGAAGTTAGCAGCACTAGCTTTATGCCAACAGGGTTAGAAAGTAACAATACCCTGGGGTTAGGGCAGAATGTAAAGAACCTCCTGACAAAGTTCTAGCCATGCTTTTTATTCTAGTCTCAAATAAAGCACAGTGTCACGAATTTGCAAGTGATATCTCATGTTGGCCTGATTGTAAAATTATAAAACATTGGAGAGAATCTGATAAGGAAGTTAAAAAAAAAATTTTTTAACCAGGTCTGAGTATGTCCAGGGATCATGGTAGACCTCAATATCCTCGGATATACAGTGCCAAAGATACTGCTGTTGAAGAGATCCACAGACACTCAGGAATCAGTTCAGTGCTGTTCAATGGATGTTTGATTGATTTATCTCAAAAACCACACATCAGCTGGGTGCCAGTGGCTCACATCTTTAATCCTAGCTACTCAGGAGGCTGAGTATCACAGTTCCAAGCCAGCCCCTCTCCCCTCCCCATCAGGAAAGTCTGTGAGAAACTTATCTCCAATGAACCAGAAAACCAGAAGTGGTGCTGTGGCCCAAGTGGTAGAGCCTCACCTTGAGCTGAAGAGCTGAGGAACAGTACCCAGGCCCAGAGTTCAAGGCCCACAACTGACACACATAAACACACACATTTGCCACTAAAGACATGGCAACCATTTAAAACATCTAAAAATTTTACTTTATCACTTCGATTAGGCACATTAACTTTTTGCTTTTTGGCAGGCATATTTTGATAAAAATTAAGAGCAAGGAAACATCACACAACCAGTTAAACACAACTAGAAGCATGGGACTGATTGACAACATCTCAAATCAACTGAGCTGCTTCATGCATGTACTGGAATATTTTTTTCTTTTTGCCCCAACCAGGAATTTAAATTTTTTTTATTTGTGAACTTTAACTTTTTGTTTTTGTTTTTGGGTCCTGTCATGGGGGCTGAACTCTGGGCCTGGGCGCTGTCCCTCAGCTCTTCAGCTCAAGGCTAGCGCTCTACCACTTGAGCCACAGCACCACTTCCGGCTTTTTCCTTTTTACTTATGTGATGCTGAGGAATCAAACCCAGGGCCTCACGCATGCAAGACAAGCGCTCTACCTCTGAGCCACCCTCCCAGCCCCTGAACTTTTTTAGTGTTTTGTTTTTTTGCTTGTTGGTTTGTTGTCGTTTGTTCATGGGACTTGAACTCTGGACTTGTCCCTCAACTCTTCAGCCTAAGGCTAGCACTCTACCACTTGAGCCACAGGGCCACTTCTGGTTTTCTGCTGGCTTTTTTATTTTTTTTTTGGAGGTCATGGGGCTTGAACTCAGCCTGAGCTCTGTCCCTCCTCTCTTCAGCTCAAGATGAGTGCTCTACCACTTGAGCCGCAGCGCCGCTTCCAGTTTTCTGGTGGTTTATTGGAGATAAGAGTTTCATGGACTTTCCTGCTCAGGGCTAGCTTTTGTTTTTTGTCTTTATTTGGTCAGTTGTGGAGCTTGAACTCTGGGGCCTGGGTGCTGTCCCTCAGCTCTTCAGCTCAAGGCCAGCGCTCTACCACTTGAGCCACAGTGCCACTTCTGGTTTTCTGATTGATTTATTGGAAGTAAGAGTCTCAAGGACTTTCATGCCTGGGCTGGCTTTGGACCACAATCCTCAGATCTCAGCCTCCTGAGTAGATTATAGGCATGAGCCACCGATGCCCATCAACTTTTTAGTTTTGTTTTTGTTTTTTTGATTTTGTTTTTCTTTTTTTTTGCCAGTCCTGGGCTTGAACTCTGGGCCTGAGTAATGTCCCTCAGCTTCAGCTCAAGGCTAGTGCTCTACCACTTGAGCCACAAAGCCACTTCCAGCTTTTTCTGCTTATGTGGTGCTGAGGAATCATATCCAGGGCCTCATGCATGCAAGGCAAGCACTCTACCACTGAGCCAACTTCCCAGCCCCAACTTTTTAGTTTTTGACTGGTCAAAACTTGTGTGTTGGAGCCAGCCCTGGTGGCTCATGCCTATAATTCTAGCTACTCAGCAGGCTGAGATAGGTGGAGCTTGGTTCAAAGCCAGCCTGGGCAGGAAAGTCTATGAACTCTTATTTCCAATTAACCACCAAAAAACTGGAAGTGGTGTTACGGCTCAAGTGGTAGAGCGCTAACCTTGAGCTGAAGAGCTGAGGGACAGCATCTAAGCCGAGTTCAAGCCCCACGACTGATAAAAAAAAACAAAAAACTTGTGTGTTGGGACTCACAAGGGACAGAAGGAAAAAGGAAGTTAAAAAGAAATCCGCATGGTTGGTGCCAGTGGCTCATGCCTGTAATCCTAGTTACTCAGAGGCTGAGATCTGAGGATTATACTTCAAAGCCAGACTGGGTAGGAAAGTTTGTGAGATTCTTTTCTCCAATTAACCACCAAAAAGCTGGAAGTAGAGCTGTGGCTCAAATGTTAAGAGTGCTAACCTTGAGCAAAAAGCTCATGAACAGCAGCCAGGCCCTGAGTTCATGCCCAGCACTCACACAAACACAAAACTAAATGCATGTGATGATTAAGAAGTCTGAAGGTGATGTCCAACAGTGTGTGTTTCATCAAATTTCCAGATGATGCATGACTTACCAGTCTGCACTCTGCAGACTGCTTTGAGTAACAGGTCAGTGCCTGATCTGGTCTATACCCATTTCTCCACTTTTCACTGCTACTAATGGGGAGGAGCCAGGGGTAGGGGTGGGTGACAGACAGCAACTTGTGGGGAGGGCATAGTGAGGGCACTTAAGATGTTACAAGGAAGCCAGGCACCGGTGGCTCACGCCTGTAGTCCTAGCTACTCAGGAGGCTGAGATATGAGGATCACGGTTCAAAGCCAGCCCAAGCAGGAAAGTCCATGAGACTCTTATCTCTAATAAACCACTAGAAAACCGAAGTGGAGCTGTGGCTCAAGTGGTAAAGCGTACACCTTGAGCTGAAGAGCTCAGGGACAGTGGCCAAGCCCAGAGTTCAAGCCCCAAGACTGACCAAAAAAAAAAAAAAAAGACATTACAAGGCAGTGTAATTTTTTTGTCAATTGTTGGGCCTGAATTCTGGGCCTGAGTGCTGTCCCTCAGCTCTTCAGCTCAAGGCTAGTGCTCTACCACTTGAGGCACAGTGCCACTTCCGGCTTTTTCTGCTTATGTAGTGCTGAGGAATGGAACCCAGGGCCTCATGCATGCAAGGCAAGCACTTTACCACTGAGCCACCTTCCCAGCCCAAGGCAGTGTAATTCTATGAGCTACTTTTCCTTATCTTTTTATTTTTTTTGTTGTTGGTCATGGAGCTTGAACTCTTGTCCCTGTGCTCTTCAGCTCAAGGCTAGCACTCTATCACTTGAGCCATAGCGCCACTTCGTTTTCTGGTGGTTATTTTGGAGATAAGTCTCACAGGACTGGGAAGGTGGCTCAGGGGTAGAGTGTTTGCCTTGCATGCATGAGGCCCTTGGTTCCATTCCTCAGTACCACATAAGCAGAAAAGGCTGAAAGTGGCGCTGTGGCTCAAGTAGTAGAGCGCTAGCCTTGAGCTGAAGAGCTGAGGGACAGCGCCTAGGCTCAGAGTTCAGGGCCCGTGACCGGCAAAAAAAAGTTTCATTGACTTTCCTGCCCAGGCTGGCTTTGAACCATCATCTTCAAATCTCAGCTTCCTGAGTAGCTAGGATTACAGGTGTGACCCTGTTCTGAGGCAGGATTAATCAGGGGAAAGAAGGCACACTAAACAGGAGCCAGGGATTCAAAGCCTAATGCTTTATTAAAGATGCACTGGTGGCTCACGCCTGTAATCCTAGCTATTCAGGAGGCTGAGATCTGAGGATTGCCTTTGAAAGCCAGCCTGAGTAGGAAAGACCGTGAGACTCCTTTCTCCAATAAACCACCAGAAAACCGGAAGTGGCACTGTAGCTCAAGTGGTAGAGCGCTGGCCTTGAGCTGAAGAGCTGAGGGACAGCGCTCAGGCCCAGAGTTCAAGCCCCAGACTGGACCCAAAAAAAAAAAAAAAAAAGAACTTCAACCTTAAGTTCACATTTACTAACCATGGAGTAGTTAACTAATCAGGTTAGCCAACTAAAGCATTCCAGTCTACCTATCATGTCCACCATTCATCAGTGTGAATCAGTAAATTGGCATTTGGTTTATGTGTCCCTCAACTCTGTGTGACCTTGGTAAATAGATAGTTGAGACATGACTTCCCTTCAGTGTGCCAGGCCCACATCTGAGTGCTTACTTAAATTTAGCAGTGGCTTGTAAGCCATGGGAAAGGCCTGGAAAAGGAAGACAGGAAGCCAGCTTTGTCCAGGAAAAACTAATGAGTGTTACTGTTAGCGTTACTGTAGTCATTCAGGAAAATAACAGCAGCACAAAAAGCAGGAAATTCTAGAGGAAGGACATGGGTGCTCTGGATCAAGGGAAGGTCAGAATGTTGTGGGAGGGAGGGGATTGTGCCACAGGGGGGTGAGGACTTACAAAATGGATGAGACGTCCATAGCTAGAGATAAATGGTATGGAGAGGAACTACCACCACTCCAGTAACGTCCACCATAGGAAGTGATTTAGACTACAGGGTCATCTAATTTCCTAGCTGTTTTAACCTACGGAAAGAAATGGTTATAGCTGGAGAGATGAATACTAGGTCCCAGAGAGAAAGGAGGAAAAACTATTCAACAATTTGTTCAACATTTATTGATTGGTTATTTGAACTGACTCTAAGATATAGCAATGAACAAGATGAAAAGATATAGTCTAATGAGGACAGAAAAAGAAACTATAGAACTAGGTGCTGACTCAAGCCTGTAATCCTAAATACTCAGGAGGTTGAGATCTGAGGTTTGAAGCCAGCCCAGGCAGGTCAAGTCCCCTGAGATTCTTTTTTTTTTTGGGTCCGGTCGTGGAGCCTGAACTCTGGGCCTGGGCGCTGTCCCTCAGCTCTTCAGCTCAAGGCTAGCACTCTACCACTTGAGGC